ATAATATAATACTTGCAGGTGATCTTAATAAAATTTTTGGAGATATAACAATTAATGGTTTTCTGAAATTCCGCAACATCTGTATTTAATTAATCGGGAAGGAAGGAGAAATGAAAACTTGATTATTAATTCAATTATTTTGCAATTATGGTAAGTAAAGGATTTTTTACCTGTCTTCTTAAAACATGGAAATATTGAGCAGGTGTAGATGGATTAACTATATGCATATTTGTATTTATTGGTGAATTATCATTTAAAACATCGAATCTATCATTTGTCAACTAAAAAAAATTTCAAAGCATATTAATTAAAATTATAATTATAAAATCAAATTTAGAAAATTATTAATATTTACTTGTAAAAATCGTTCAATTCTAGCACTTGAATGTTCAGGACCTGCACCATCATAACCATGTGGCAATAACATAACTAATCCAGATTGTCTTAACCATTTTGCTAAATAACAATAACAATAATGATGTTGATGTTGTTGATGAATATTTAAACGCGATAGAATAATATTAAATAGTGATTAATACCTTCGCCACTTGATATATAGGTGTCAATGATTATTTGGGCTCCATTAAAAAAATCGCCAAATTGAGCCTCCCAAATAATTAGATTATTTGGAGATTCAGATGACATTCCATATTCAAATCCAACTACAGCCAATTCACTTAAATTACTATTTGCTACCTAATATGTTTTTTAATATGTTAATATTTTAAAATAGATTAAAAATCATAGTTAATGATTATTACCTCAAGCATTCCTTGATTTTTATCTAAATTATTTAATGGTATATGAACTCTCTCAGTTTTTTGACAAACAAACATAGCATGTCTTTGACTGAATGTGCCTCTACCAACATCTTGACCACATATTCTTACATTGTAACCATCCAATAATAAGGTTCCAAAAGCAAGTGACTATAAATTGATTAATTTGATTAGGAGTTCTTTAGTTATGACTTTAATTGGCTACTGTCATTATGAAATTTATTACCTCAGCCGTAGCCCAATCAATCTTTTTGCCCTCGGATAATTTTAATAATCTTGATTGTATATGAAATTTCAAAAGTCTTGGATGAATTACCTATCCAATTAACAAATCAATAATTAATTAAAGATATAAAATATTGAATAAATTGTTATTAATTTTTATAATTACAATTTCGTCCGGAAAGCTAACCGAAATTCTTCCAACTTTTTCCAAAATTTCTCTTGATATACCTAAAAATTAAATTTATTCATTGACTCATTCAATTAATTAAATTCATTAAAAGGGGGGGTTTTTTTTTTTAATATACTAATTTACTGTTATTATTATTAACCTGTGTCCAATTTGATAATTGATTCTTTTGGAAAAACCA